CTTAATGAGGAACTTAGCAGAATATTCTAGAAATTGGCTTAGAGAGTTAAGATTGCTCAAGTATGTCCACAAAGGCTCCAACTGCAAGTGTAAGCCCTGGCTAACAAAGAAAGTAAAGAATCCTTCCAGTCTTCCTCTAAGAATGAAACATTCTATTATTAATCATATAATTTATTTGTTTGCTTGTTTATTGGTTTCTCGAGACAAGGTTTCTCTGTGTAGCTCTGGCTGCCCTGGAATTTCCTCTGTAGAACAGGTTGGCATTGAACTCACAGAGATACATCTGCCTCTGCCTCCCGAATGCTGGGACTAAAGACGATAATCGTATTTTCAAGTATTCCTTCTACCCTACCCATTGCCTGTTTTATTAAGACTCTAATTATGTGATATTAGTTCAGTACTGTCTGCTCCACCTTAAACAGGTCAGATACATCCCCCTCAATTCCCTGGTCCTAAAATTGTTTTTCCCTTAACTTCATCCTCTGTTCTGCCAATACCTTAAACAGGTGTAAGAGACACCAGACATTCCCCCATACCACAAACACTGGGCAGGAGCAAAGAGACCAGCTATGCCAGGATGTGACCAGCACCCAGCCTTCTCAGGTTCCCTCCAAAAATGATACCCACAAACAAGCAAGACAGGAGCCTTACTACACTTCATAAATATATACATATTAAAAATGAATTTAAGTGGAGTCACCATACAATGGGGGAGACAAGGCCCTAACTAGATATCTAATGCAACCAAGTACACTCCACCCTCCACCCCGATGCTAGAAATCTTGAGTCATTGGCCAAAAGGGTCCTATAGACTCCTAAACATCACAAGCTATTGCAAAGGCTTTGGTTATCCTCCACAACCTGAAGGTTAGGCCCTATTGCTGAAGATGTCACTTCTGTAATTGAACATGGAAAAATTGAGCAGGTGCGCAGCTAGAAGCCTCACCCCTACTGGCTAGCATTTGTAGTGCTGGGAGGTATTTTGCCCACTTCCAGAGAAGAAAGGTAATCGTCAACACCAGTCAGTTAAGATTTTTCACAGGCAAAGGATCTGTATTTGGGAAAGAGGGATTTCTTCCGGCACCAATATAGAGGCAGAGGCAGCTCCAAAGTGTTTGCATATACAAGATATAAGGGGCAGAAGTCTGCTTCAAGGTGGGAGGGAGGTTAGACCTGGTCTCAGAGTAGCATGTCCATAACAATACTCAATTCTGACCTAGAGTGAAAACTTGCTAAGGATGGATGCTTGTTGAAATGGCGGGCAGACACTCACATTAGGGGAGAGGCTGCAAACTTCCCAGCTACAGACATAATCAGTTAGGGAAGTATTGTTTGGGTCTGAATTTACAGAGCACCTGAATACAGAGCAGGAAGGAATATATTACAGGTGTTAGAGTACATTTACTTTTTGATGATGGCTTTCTGTAAAGTAGACAAGGAGGATTTGAGGGTAGGGAGTGCAGGTCAGGAAGGCGTGGACTGGAGTAGAGGCTGCAGAAGGCCATGGACTCCTGTGCTTCTGCCAGAGCTGTAGTTTAGAGCTGTTCTTTTCTGTCCTTCAATAAAGGATGGTGTGGGGGAAAGAGTCCACTGTAATTCACTGACTTTCTGAACCAGGGGTTCAGATTGAACCCTGACATGAGAACAGACTTTGATGGGGTTCTCACCAAATTCATTTGGTTAGAGTTTGGTTAGATGTGGTCTGGGCCAAAAGTTTCTGTGTAGTGGGTTTTCTAGGTAATGGACTGCCCTCCCCAGGTTCCCAGCACACCGCAGTGCGTCTCTTCAAGTCACCGCCTAAACCACTGGCTGCCTTGCATGCTGCTGTACCTGCTCCGCCTGCTGGGACAGCCATGCGTTTCTGAATTTGTTTACTCACTGCATGAAGACATAGACCAAACAATTCACCCATATAACGTGTAATTCAAGGATTTTAGGTATATCATATCACTAATTTAAATACTGGATGTTTTAGAAAAATGTCATTTTAGGTGTATTAGTAATATAATTCAATAATATTAAATAGATGCATAATGATTCAAATTCTCACTACTACATTTCAAAATCTTTTTTATTACTTCATAGCAGAAACCCCATAACCGTTAGGCAATGCCTTCCTATTCTCTCTTCCCCTCAGCACCTGGTAACCTCCAATCAATCTGTCCCAATGAGGTTTCATATTTAAATATTTCAAATAAGCTGAATCATATACTTTTCCCTTTGACTGATTTCTTCCACCTGGCGCAATCTCTTTAAGGTTCATTCTTGTCACAGCATGTATGAGAACGTCGCTCTCTCTTATGGCTGAATAATGCTCGGCTGTGTGTCCAGTCACCGGCTAGTGGTGTTGGGTTGTCCTCAGCTTCTGGATATAGCTACTACTTGACAAGAATCTGTTTTGGTCCCTGCCATTATTTCCTTTGTGTGCATTCAGGAGGAAATTGCTGGGCACATGTTCACTCCATTTAGTGTTTTTTAGGATCTCCTTCATTTCTAAAACACTGTAGACCCTGGGTTAGAATTCTTTCTACACACTCTTTCTGTCTTGTCTTAGGTAGTTCAGTAACTGTGCAGTGCCCTGGACTCTCAATTCCGTGAACTCATCTTCTTTATGGTAGCATTTTTCCTTTATGCTATTTTTCTCCCTGACTCCAATCTATCTACTCTAGTTCTCCCCTAAATCCATTCCAATCAGGGTTTTGCTCCATCATTCCACAAAACTGATATTGTCAAGGCCACACAGACACTTACTGCTTGTGTTGGCTAATATTTGTGCTATTCTTTTCTGAGCATCCGGACAAACTAATCTTCCAGTTTCATGCATGCTAGGCAAAGGCTATCAACTTAGTTATATCCCCAGCCCTATAGACCTCATTCCTATTTGACATTTCTACCCAGAAGCTGCCTCTTCAAGAGGGAGATGGAAAAAGGGAAGAGACTCAGGCTGCAACCAGGAAGTAAGATCTGCCTGCCTCAGCTGACAGGGGAGGGAATGGGAGTGGCTTGTCTCTTAAAGGGACAGGACAGACCATTACAGTGAGCCAGACCAGCAGGGTGGAAATTCAAAGGGGTGAGGGCAAGTTTCTGCGGGGTTCACTGCCACCTCAGTCACCTCTGGAGGGGGCACAGTGGAGCTACTTTCTAGGTTGTATTGCAAATCAGTTTTGTTTAATCTACACTCAAATGAGAAGTCTTACACTGGATCTGTGTGCATTGATTGGATTTTCCTCAGCAGGCATTTCCTGGCCTTATCTCTAGTTCTGGATCTTCCAAGAAAATCTTTCAACATCTCATGACCAATGGCAATGGGGGTGGTCAGAAATGCAAGATGAGAAATACATTATGAGGGATTAAATTAAGGGAATGTTGGGTGGATCTATGCAAAACTGCTTTTAGCCCTTGCAGAGCTGGTTGCCATGGTAACAGCTGGGGCGCATAGGAGACCTAAGCACATGAGGCAAAGATTACCTGAGGAATCTCACTGATGTATGATACAGGTTCTTAGCCAGGCCTCCTGTGATAAAGGCCTTTACAATGCACATGGCACCTCCATTTTTGTGTGTGAGAGAGATGAAGCTCCCCACAAGCGGCTAGAGGTATACAACTATTTAGTGGGGGTCCTCTCCAGGTTTGTGGGTGAACGATCTCTAAAAAGGCTTGAGTAGGGAAAGTTACAGTCTCAACCACTACTAATCTCATGTTGAAATGTTTTCTCAGCTACACATTCCAGGGTTTTCCAGCATTGGCCTGCAGTTTGGTTGTCTTAATTTAAACTGGAGTTGTCATGACTTTGAGTCTAAGTCCATCATTGTCTTGCGATTGTCAGACCATGGTTACCGCAACTGCTCCATGACCTATGTCCTTGGGCACAAGGACAGAAGATTCCAGGGCATCCCTGGGATCCACATATTCTCCCTCCCTTATCACCTCATGTTTCTCTAATTTCTTTGTAGCATGTGGACCAATTACCCTCATCCTGCCCTGTGCAGTTAATCTGTTCTTTGCTTGTTGGCTAAAAGGACTAAACAGACCCCATTCCCCCACACACACACCTGCCCATTCATTGCAGTTCTTGCTATTTTACTTCTCCTTAGAGACAAACCCACCCTCTCCCATCCTAAACCCTCCAGACTTGCTAGCATAAGGATATGAGAACAAATTGTGCAAACCAGTCATGAGGAGTCTTCGTGGGAGGTACCATTGATCCGTTGATGAGCAATCCAGGTTGATTCCCGATCATAGCGTGTATGACTAGTGCTCCCATAAGAATGGACATGTCACTATCCCTGGTTCTTTAAGACTTTGATTCTTTTATTTATGAGTATCTGTTTGTATGTTTGTGCACATGCCCACATGTATGGTGCACATGCATTTGGGTAGCCAAGGAAGCCAGGAGAAGACATCAGATCCCCTGGAGCTGGTGTTACAGGCAGTCATAAGCTGTGCCACATGGACACCTAGGAATTGAAATCTAATCCTAAGTAAGAGCAGCAAATGGTCTTCATCACTGAGCCTCTCTTTGGCCCCTCTAAGTATCTCTTTGATATAATAATTTCATCTCTTTTGGACATACACACTCAGCAGTGGGACTGTGGGATCCTATAATAATCTGTTTTTAGTTTTAAGGGATCCCACACTGTTTCCACGAAGCCTGTACTAATCTGCATTCCCATCAACAGAGACAAAAGTGACTCTAACACGTTACTCTTGATGACAGCCATTCTAATTGATTTATTCTAATTGATTTACACTTCTCTGGTGATTGCTGCATCTGCTCCTTAGCCACCACAGACTTCTCTGAAGAAGTATCTCTTCAGATTTGGCCCATTTTTATTGGATTACTTCCTTTTAAGCACCATTTTTTCTTTCTAATGTTTTTTTCTTAATTAGCATAGTCCTATGACTTCACATTTGCCCTTTGGATAGGAAACACCTAACCCCAAAGGAAATAAATGCAGCTTATGAAACAAGTAAGTACTCACACCACAGATAAAATAAGACTTAACTTTCCAGTAATAAAACATCAATAGCTTCTGCTAACACAAGGGAGGGAGCGCAGAAGAGAGGGCAGGAGACTGGGCAAGAAAGAGCTCTGTGTCTCCTGTGTTACTGAAGCCAGCTCTTACAATAGCACTCTCCAGATGCAGATGGAGACTGGAAGCAGCAGGATGCCTCCTGCCTCCTTTCTCCCCACGGCCATCATTTTCCTTCTCGTTTCTGGAGGTAAGACATACTTTTGTATGCTTTTGTCCTTTTGCTCGTGAGAAAATAGAACTCTATATTGTTTTAAAGTATGTTAAATGTTAAATAAAAGGGGAAATAAAATGATAATGCCCCATCATTTTTAATGCACCTTTTGTCTTTGCTATCTAAAAGGCACACAGCTGTACATAAATAGATGATAGATAGATAGATAGATAGATAGATAGATAGATAGATGTATCTAAATGTCTGAGGCCATAATATGGAAGCATCAGCCACATCTAGTGACTCTTATGAACCCAGACCTGCACCAAGCAAGGTCTTTAAGTGAAAAACTGCCATTAAAGTAGGGATGTACAGGCTGTATTAACTGACCTGCCAATCATGTAAGTGCAACTGAATGCTCTCAGGTAAGTCTTACAATGTTTAGGTTCAAGATTTTGTTTGTAGCTGTGTTCATGCCCAGCAGTGGGATGATGAAGAAAATAACAGTATCAGTGTAAAATAATCTTAACTTCATACACACATGTATGCACACATGCACACACATGAATGCACATGAACAAATGCCTGTCCTTAATAAAACTTATAAAAAAATAACAGTATATTAACTGGCTCACGGACACTGGCTCATGAACACTAAGATGCTCAATGTCATCATCTGTGATGTCATCATCTCCATCTCACACTTGGGAAACCAGAAAGGTTCCCAAATGATCTGAACACGCAGCTGGTTAGTAGAAGTGCTAGGCTTAAGCTCTGATTTCAGGTTCGATCGCACCTTCAGAACTGGAACTCTGGCACAGGATCTGAGCGCGTATTCAAGGCCCTGCTTAGACATTAGAAAGGCCGTGGCTGTCCCAACGTTATATGTAAAAATTTAAATTGCATGTGTATGTTTTGTTCCATTAGATTCTCCTAGCTCTGTAAGAAAAATGTTAAAAGAAAGAAAAGACTGTGTAAGAAGGCACGACTGGAGAGGACTGTGCTTCACAATGGGAAAATATGGGCTTGCACTATGTGGGACTGTGTTAGGACAATGCTTTGACATTATTAGTGGTGTGAACTTGGGTGTTTAAACTTCATTCTTATCTTATCTACCTGGATACCCCCTTCTTCCATTGTAATTAACATTATGAGGGGAGTCAGTTACAAGTGGGTGCCTGAGAGTCGTGGATGCTCCATTACTACTGTCACTATAGCTTCTGAATGTTTTCTTTACTTTTAATACGTTTACTAAAACTGCCATACAGATAATAAACTTGTTATTATAGTGTGAGTTTTTAAGGCCAATACTCCAGTGTCCCACCTGTAGGGGGCGCCAACGCCCAGAAAAGAGACTTCCTCCCCACTCTAACCTCCCTGCACCCTGAACTTTACAAAGTCGCCTGACATTTCCCACGTACATTTTGAATAGGTGATTTGAACTCTGCTAGGGAAGAATTCAAGATACAGTTATGCAGAGAGATCAGGAAAAACTGCAGAAGCAGGGGTAAATGCAAACAGAACAATGAAAAGAATAGCAACAGGCTAAGTCGGACCTTGGGAAAATATATATGTATGCACATATAATATTTATATATGTGTATATATATGCATATATAGCAATTAAAATGTTAAAGTCTGAAAGCATATTAAAGCTGGGCCTCAAAAGAGTTTAAATGAAGATGACCAACAAGCTCAATTTGACATCACTCCGTGGGCTCCCATTTCCTTCTCAGGATCCCCAGAGCTCTGCCTTTTGCTTAACTGGTTTGAAACCTCCTTTCGCCTCATCTGAAATCTTATGAACCTTTAAACCTCCTTCAAGAAGACTTAGCAGGTCCTATCTCTGAGACCCTGCAGCTCCTCGCTGATACCGGGGCCAGACACTCCTGAGCTCTGTCACCCTTTGTGAATGGCACACAATACCAGCCTTGCCTGTCCTGTCCGCCTTCCTAGTGCTACGGTCTTGGGTGGAGAGAATTGTGTTCTATTCACTTCCGTTTTAACAGCAGATGCTCAAAAAATAGTTGTGGGAAAATGGAATGATTGTGAATTGATTAGAAATTAATACTAATCCTCAGTTAGTACAACAATGGGGGCTGGGAACCGTTGAGAAAGCTTGCACAGTTAAGTCCTGCGCAGGACCCAGGTTCAGTTCCCACCACCCACATGGTGGCTCACTACCATCAAAACTCCAGTTCCTAGGGAACCAATGCTTTCTTCTGGCCTCCACAGACATACATGCAGGCTAAACACTCATACACATAACGAAGTCTAACATGAGGCTCAGAAAACCAAATCAGTGGGCTGAACTTCTTTATAGGCAGATTAACACAACAAATACCTTTTCCTGTTTTATTTATTTGTTTGTTTTTATTTATTTGTTTGTTTTTACTTACATGGGTACAGATTTTACTAATAATAGATTTTTTTTAATCTGTGACAATTCAAGAAGGCTCTCGGTATCTTCGCTTCTGCACAAGAGAGTAGAGAATTAGTTTCCATGCAAACTGAGTAGCAGAAAGTCTGTTTGAGGCTAGAGCCAAGTCCTGGGAGGTTCAATCGAGGATGCTGCCGACTCAGTCTTCCTTACTCCCTTCCAGTTCTCCAGCTCTGGCCACTTGGTGATCTGTGATGTCTACCCTGTATCAAATGACTCTGTGAGATGCCATCTGCTAGTGATGACAGGCCACAGTGTCACAATTAGGATCAATCACTTCTTTCCTAGACACACCCACAGTCCTCTGCTGCTCAGAGGACCACCTGCATCAGAATCAAGATGCTTATTTAACACAAAAGTGTCCTGGTCCCAAACCATCCCCTCAAGTGGGTCTATGGAATGTATAGTTTAAATATGGGATATGTTATTACCATGACAATAAAGTCTGAGACCTATCACACAGAAAGAAACACATTCTACATAGTTGTCATTTAATCATAATGAGAAAAAAGGATAATAAAAGAAATGGCAAGAAGAAAAGGGTAAAAAAGAATAAATGGGTACCAAGAAGTGGAAAGAAGAGAGACTAGGGTAGGGAGAAGCAAGAAAGAGAGAGGGAAAAACAGACAGAGAGCATCAATTTAGGTACATGGCATAGAAAGTAAAAGTGGGGATGTTTGCTTATAATAAAAGTTAAAGCTAAACTCTAAGTCTGATGTGGTACATGGCTGCAATCCTAGCATTTGGGGGGGGGGGCGGAGGTAGGATGACAACCAAGTAAGTCTGAGGCTAGCCTGGGCTACATGACCCAAACAAACAAACAAAACAAAAGCCAAGCACCCAGCTGAGCTTGAGCTAGTGCTGTGAAGCGTGTGTGTGAGTGTGTGTGTGTGTGTGGGGGGTGGTTGGGAACACAGCCCTGGGGCAAATGCTCCAGCAGCAAGCACTAGCGAGAGCCCAGCCCAGGAGCTTGATCTACTCTGTTCCCTGGCACAGGACACACAGCTAAGAATTTGCAGTGTAATTTTTTTTTCCAGCCAAACTGTCCTGGGGTAAAGGATGATTACATAAGCAAGGATTTCACTCTCTATCAATCTCTTAGTTTTTCCAGAATCCTGTAAGGGAATTATAGGAGGAAATGAGGTTCCATCCCATGCCAGACGCTACATGGCTCTCATCAAAGGGCTGGAAATCTGCGCAGGGGCTTTGATCGACGAAAACTGGGTCCTGACCGCTGCTCACTGTGACCTGTAAGTCTTCCCTCACTCCCAGCTCCTCTCATTTCCAGTGTTGACTCAGAGCTACCCAGTCCAAAGCCACAATTAGTGTGGAATGGAGAAGAAAGTGGGTACCCATAACCAGCACCGTATCCTGTTGTGATATTTGCCTCACAAACAAGGGCCAGATAGTATAAGACTAAAATGCACGATGCTAATATAAATAACAGTATTAGAACTGGAAAAGACAGGGACATAACTGCACCCAGTTAACTCACCAGGTCTGATCACTTGCACACAATCTCTCACAGTATTCTGTCCCTGTTGGGTTCACAGGCATCTTTACACAATCAATGTCAATCACACTGAGTGTGTCCTATGGTTACAGCTCATTTGTTCCCTGTCACTGGTCTTTTCCCACCTTAATAGGGTATTTTAGAGTGATCCCAGGAAATTACTACTCCTTGATTATGTGGAAAAAAAGATACTAGTACCCTATAACTTTCACTAATGGTTTGAGTCATTATTTTCAAGGCAAAGTCATATTTATCATGACGAACTACTGTTCTTTAACTGATATCTGTTGTTGATAAGCACTTCCTGGTAGTCCCTGTTCACTCTGGCACAAATTGCCTGAACCAAAGATTCAGCTTAAAATTATATATGAAGTTGTGCTGTGGTACGAAATAAAATTTGCCAAGTAAAAAACGTCAGCACAATTTATGCAAATGAGAAAGGTAAGCACTGACAAATTCATCAATTGACAGGACCAAATGATAACAAGTTGACCCAACAAGTTGGGATACAGTTTTTCTCGTCTTTCATTAGTTCATGAACTAGATTAGGAGTTAGCTCTAGTTCTCTTTGCTTCTGTGTTTGTGTTTGGTTGGAGGAGGTGAGTCTCTGTGTGGGTCTATGTACACATCCATATGTGAGGCAGCAGGGTCTGGGGGGAGGAAAGGGTGGTGTGTGTGTGTGTGTGTGTGTGTTTATAGGAGGGCTGTCCGTGTTCATCTGCATGTGGGTGTGAAATTCTTGATTTCACAGTTTCACTGAAAAAGCATCTCTTCCTTTGGGATCCTAAAAGCAGGTCTTGGACCACCCTTCCTATTTTGAATACAACAGTAAGGTTTACTATTTTTCTGGAGAGCACAAAGGTCAGTCCATGCTATGCCTTTGGGTTGGCTCTTTCCACTGGGTGTCATCCACCCAGAAGGCCACTACAGACTTTGCTGCACAAATCCGAAGCAGCTGAAGACTTGGGAAGCTCCTCCTTTACTCCAGCAGAGCCCAGGTCCTCCAGCCCAGCCACCCAAAGCCACAGTGCCTGTCCAGGGATGCCCTGCGCCCCACCTCTCCAGGCTATCCCAACTCAAGTTTTTTTCCCCTAAGTCAGGAACTCCCTGGTTGCTTTCTCCTTGAAAACACATGGCAACTGGACTGCATCCTAACACATGTGGGAGTCTTAGGTAGAAGACACCAAAACACCAAAAAGAGTTCTATAAGCCCTGGTCCCATTTTGTGCTTGTTTCTAAATCTGACGCCAGCTGCAAACACTGAGGACATTAAACCCGGAGCTGAGCTTTCTCTGTTCTCTTAAGTGTTGTTTGATTTTCTTTTCAGGAGAGGCAAACCTCAAGTTATCCTTGGTGCCCACTCTGTAGCTCAGAAAGAGAAACTTGAACAGATGTTTTCCATTAAGAGGGCAATTTCCTACCCATGCTATGACCCTGAGACATTTCAAGGAGATCTTCAACTCCTTCAGGTAAATATGCTTAGATTTTTTTGTCTTTCTCTTGTAACTTTTAGCAAACAGACGGTGTAACCTGAAACCAACTACTACATGAGTAAGTGTGAGCAGGCGCACACACCACAAACCAGTCCTCACAAGTTGGATTCCAAGTGTGAGGCTCCTCAGTTGGGCAGGGATCCAGCACTTGGCCACTGGTGTTCCTTCAACTCAGCAGTTTCTCACAAATTGTTACTGTTGCAGCACCAGGCTGTCTATAGTGTGGATGCTCACCCACCAAAGGCCACCAGGAGTCCCCCACAGTGAGACACGTCTGTGCCGACACTCAACCGGGGAGATGGCCTCTCTGGGAAACTCCTAGGGTACAGTCCCTGAGATGACAAGCAAGGGACCCTGGAGCTCGGCCTGGCAGCCTGGTAGAGGTCTGAGGAACTGAGAGTCTGCTCTGAATGGAGCACTGTTAGCAAGTGGGCTAGCTCCATGATGAAGCTTCTTTACAGTCTCACCTAGGAAGCAGAAGGGAAAGAGCCAGTGTGGTGATTGTAAGGACACAGCCGCTGTGCGTTTTAAGCAGTGGTCTTTGATCATTTTGGGGATGTGGACAATGACATCAGTTTTGTCCCTACTCAAACTTGACTACAGAGCCACCCTGTGATTGTTCCCTTCGTTGGGCCCGCCTTATCTGGTACTGACAGTCTCTGAGGAAGCTGAGAGCTACCAGGAGGGTGGAGGCCCCTGCTCAGTGGTGAGTGCAGTCTGCCTACCATTTTTACAGAAGACACGTTGTAAGTGGGACTCCCCCTGAAGGTATTCAGTCCACAGAGAGGCAGACAGATAAACGACCGGCTCTGAGCTGCAGTGTTCTGCTTATCCATGGCCAAGATAACATGGGAGCACCAGGGAAGAGCAGATGGTCAGGGAATTCTGCTGGGTACCAGGAATAGCATGGAGGAAGAGAAAAGACAGGGAGTGAGGATGAGATTTGAAATTGGGGGGAAAGCAGGGCGCAGACGACAAAGGTGGGCTTTGTGCACCTTGGCTAGCATTTGAACATTTAGGGAAGTGATGTAAGCAGGACGGTGAAGTGACCAGGCTCATTAAGAGGGATGTAGAGCCGGGCGGTGGTGGCGCACGCCTTTAATCCCAGCACTCGGGAGGCAGAGACAGGTGGATCTCTGTGAGTTCGAGACCAGCCTGGTCTACAGAGCTAGTTCCAGAGAAACCCTGTCTCGAAAAACCAAAAAAATAAAAAAAAAAATAAAATAAAGAGGGATGTAGAATGTAGGATGAAGCAAGACGGGACCAGAAAAGAGTGACAGGAGAAGGGGCTCACAGTTTCTCACTGCAAGCGTTGATGGTGAACTTCATAGCAAGAATAAGACTGAGCTCAGGAGTTCTGACTCTTTACCCCGGGGTAAGGAGAGAGTCACAAGCCTCTGACAGGACCTTCACCTTCCTTGTCCCCATTCTTCCAGCCTATTTCCTCTCACTGTTTTCCTAGAGATCACCAGCCCTGGCTTTCCCTGGGTCACCTCTCAGCCCTATGCTAATTCTTGCCTTGCTTCCCGGACGGGTGAAAAGTAGCTCCATCCCCACCCCTTGGCACTCAACCCCCTTGGCTACACTTCAGGTTGTATTTCTCCCTCTGCCTGCGATGTTCGCGAGGCCATAAGCAGCTCTGTGTTTTCAGCTGGATGGTAAAGCAGCGATCACCAAAGCGGTGGGAATCCTTCGCCTCCCGGAAAGAGGCGAGGATGTGAAACCCCACACCAAGTGTCATGTGGCTGGATGGGGGAGCACCAAAAGAGACTCTTGCAAGGTTTCCAACATCTTGAGAGAAGTCAATGTCACCGTGATCGACCGAAGAGTCTGCAACGACCCAAAGCATTATGCTTTCAAACAGTTGGTGGACAACAGCATGCTCTGTGCAGGCGGCAGGAAAGGGGAAGACGACTCGTGCAGTGTACGTAAATTAAACTATCTAACTGTCCTTTGACTCTGGGGAATGAAAGGTGTAGAGGGATCTTCTAGAAAGACCGTGGTGAACAGTTGTCTTTCCTTTTTCTGTCTAAGGACCCCTGCTTGTCCCTTGGGTGGTGGCACCATTGTCCATCCCTCAGTAGACCCCCTCGGGGAGTGGTCTCTATTTCCTAATGGTCATTTTCAGGAAACAGCCAGAAATAAGGTGAAATGAGAACTTACAAATTCCTGAAAAAAAAAAAAACCTAAACATTGTTTGAGATATCAAAAACTGCCGTTCTGTCTAAGATGACTTATCCAGTGTCCTCCTTAGAAAAGGGCATATTTGGGACCCCAGATCAAGCTTCTAATTGTCCCTACATATGTCTTCCTCTGACATACTGGTCAAGAGAGAAAACATATAATTTTTAAATTTTTTTAAAGGGATAACAATGTAAATCAGTGGGTAAAGCGCTTGCTGCCACGTCTGAATTTGATCCCCAGATTCCACATAGAAGAGAGAATCAACTCATACAAGTTGTCCTCTGACCTTCACACTGTGGCATAGGAACATGTATACATATACACAGAGAGACAGGGACAGGGAGAGAGAGATGGATATAATGATAATTGTTGATTTTATTAATTATTAATATCAATAATTATTATTATTTAATTTTAGAAGAGGGCACAAGTCAATGAAAGGAGACTTGCATTCTCTTCTTGTCTTACTGATAGAAGTGATTCTTCACTGCTGCAGAGCCGCCCTTGAGAAAGGCGAGCGACTGGAAAACATAGATGCCCATAAACCAAAAGGCCCTCGCGTGGATGCTAAGAGCTGACAAGCGAGGGAGAAGACTTTTGCTTTGTTTTTCAATTTGAGAATCTCTTCTACTTGATTTGTTTTCTCATTCTGGTGTGAAGAATAATGGGTTTCATTATGAAATTTTCATTCACACACAGACCCGCACACGCACACGCACACACACACACACACACACACACACACACACTCGCCTACCTTGTACTAGTCACACATACTGTGTTGCTCTCTCTGTTCTCCCCCACCTGCCTGCCATTCCCCTTCCTCTTTCAAACTCTCCTCTCCTTACTGTCATGTTATTCTGTCCCTTCGATTTAGTTTTTGTTTCTGAGACAAGGACTTACATTGTAACCCAGGCTAGCCTGAAACTCACAATAATCCTCCTGCCTCAGCCTCTCATTCTCAATTTTTAATCTAGTTTTTACATATAAGAAAAATGTGCTATTTGTCTTTCTGAGTCTTGTTTATCATCCCATGATTATTTCTAGTTAAAGGAAACTTAAACTTTGCTTTTAAATCAGGAAAGAGAAATAAAAGGGAGGGAGGGATGGATGGATGGATGGATGGATGGATGGATGGATGGATAAAATATTAGGAAGTATCTTGGAAAAGCACCATACTTAAAACACATGTCTTTCTGTTCCAGGGGGATTCTGGAAGTCCTCTGATATGTGATAACATTTTCAGGGGTGTCACTTCCTTTGGGAAATGTGGTGACCCCAAGAAGCCTGGTGTCTACATTCTTCTTACTAACAAATATCTCAACTGGATACAGAAAACCATTGCAGGAGTTGTGTAACACTCCTTCAAAGCAGACCCCCAAGGTTACCACTGGAAGAGATCCAGCAAAGGGGTCTGAAACTTCACTTATCCCACGAAGCACTTCTTCCTAACTGTGCCAGCCATGGCCTGTCTGGCATGATCACCAGTCACCAGCTTGCACTGCCCTGTTGGTCACTAAGACTGCAGCTTAGCATTTAACTCTTTCTGTAGCAAGAGAGAGCCCTGAGAAGAGGGTCAGGCTGATGCTTTGTGTCAATTAAAAGAAACCGGTAGTCCTGGGGAAAGCTAAAATATTCTTCACTCTTCCAAATACAACTCTCAAATACCTATGGCATTTAGAGTGTATGAGAGAGAGAGAGCTTTTATTGAAAATAGATTCTTCTCTCATACAATACACCCAACCAGAGTATCCCCTCCCTCCACTCCTCCTAGCTCCTCCCTACCTCCCCTCTCCCCAGACCCATACCCCCTCCACATCCTCTTCAGAAAAGAGCAGGCTTCCAAGAGACAACAGTTACACAGGACAAGAGCCCTCACATTTGGGCTGGACAAGGCAACACAATAGGAGGAAAAGAGTCTCAAGAGCAGGCAAAAGAGTTAGAGACACACCCACTCCCAGTTGTTAGAAGTCCCACAAGAGCACCAAGCTAACAGCCACAGAATAACGCACAGACCAGGTGTAGACCCACACAGGCCCTCTGCTTGCCATTTCAGTCTCTGTGAGCCCAGATGCACTTTGCTGAGTTGATTCAGTGGGCCGTGTTCTCCTCGTGTCCTCCGTCCACTCTGACTCCTACAGTTTTTCCTCATCCTCTTCTGTGGTGTTCTCCAATCTCCGGGAGGAGGGGGGAAACACAATGGAATCTACCAATTTAGACTTTCTCTCCACATAATGTCTGGCTCTGGGTCTCTGCACCCATTCCTATCTGTTGCCAAATCAAGCCTCTCTGATGATGACTGGACAAGGCCCTAATCTATGAGTATAGCAGAATATCATTAGAAATAATTTTATTGATTTTATATTTCATTTTATTTTATTACCTGTCGTGTTTGGTTCTACCCTAGGTCTCTGGGCTATTCAGTCTCCAGTTTCTTGCCATCCAGGCAGTGTAGGGCATGGGCTCCCTCTAGCGGGGTGAGCCTCAAATCAAAAAACATCGATTGTTCATGCCCACATATTCTTTGCCCCAGCATGTCTTGCTGGAAGGACAGACTGTAGGTGGAGAATTTTGAGCCTGGGTTGGTGTCAGGTTTCTCTTTCCATGACCTGTGGAGTACCTTATCACACCAAAGAGACTAGAATGTAGGAGTGAAGGCTCCATGCCTACACCAGCTCAACCTCTCTAGGTCCAATGACCTAGGTGAAAGTTGTGGACAATGCACTCCCCCCCCCCATCAGTTTTCAGAGGGCAATCGTCTGTCCTATCACCAGCCTGGGTTGTTTAGAGATCTCCATGGGACCTCCTTAGTCAACAACTTAATCAAATGTAACCCAGACCCACCACTGGAAGCCTTGCCAGGCTACAAAAGAGGGCCAGTCTCAGACTCTGTATCCGCCATTACTAGGAGTCCTCACTAGGGTCACCCTCACAGATTCCTGGAACTTTCCACTGAACTTGGTCTTCACAGTGCTCTCAAAAGTCCCCCAAATTCTAGCTGTCTCTCTCTACCATTCTCCCCCATCTCCCCAAATCCAGCCACTTTCCAACCTCACTTGAACATCAAGCAGCCCCCTCCCCTGGCCCCAGATCTTCCCTCTTAAACCTGTTTCAACTCTGGTTTTTCCATTTCTAGAAAACTCCCCTAGATAGCTAATGTCATGGCTTAATATACCCAGCCTGCCCCAAAATATTCTGTGATGTCAGTGCACACCTCGCCCCCTCAGACAAATTTGCTGCCCCCTTACCTTGACCTGTATATGTATGTGTATGTTCTGTATATATGTGTGTGTGTATACACACACACATACATATATCCTAGCCTGTTACCTTGGTAATAATGTCTCTTCCCACTAGTGTATAAGTTCCATGAAGAAAGGACAGGAACTGGTGTACTTTTCACTATCTCTATGTTCAATACATGAATGAAATGAAGCTTAACTGCTGTCCTGTTAACAGAGGACTACCTACCAAACTCTCTGAACATCTAATCATCTTTATCCAAAAAATAACCCTGACCCCGACTTCTAACATCAGAGTAGAGATTTTCCTAAACATTGGGTGATAGTTGCCGTTGTATAACCACCCCTGCCATGCATGTTTTTGGATGAATTAATTCTTCTGTGGGGACAGTACATTTGTGAGGCCACCACATGCCTGTTCTGTTTGTCTCTGCCAGGATTCAGAAGGTTTCAGCTTGGCATTGTTTCAGATGGGGCTCCAGAATCGAACCCTTGCAGAAACAGTCTTGATTTCCTAAGAAGGTGCCCCCAGGGTAATGGAGGTAAACTTGCAGGGCAGTTGAGAAAGTGAGACACAAAAGGGCACAATTTCACCTACAGACCCAACAATGCCCCCTCTGGGGAACTGTGAACGCAGGGCGAATGAGCCTTCATTCTCACCAGCTGAAGGACTTTCCTTAGTTCTTGTCTCCTGGAAGGCACAGATTCAGCCAAGATGCACAGAGGCAGAAGCAGAAGCTAGTTATGAAATTAAAGTGGAAAACACGCTCCAGACTCCCTTGAAAAGGACTTTGGCTGTCTCAATCAATCAATATATCTCCCTTCCTCTTTTCCCCTCTCCACTCTCCCTATCCCATCTGCATTTATTAAAAATATGACCATTGGTTTGGGTATCAGGGTAATTGTAGTAGCCTGATAATTAAATCAAACTAGTAAAAAAAATCCTCATTTTTATTAGTTGCTGAATAAAAAAGTTAAATTGAAATGGAAATAGCCATTGATTGAAAATAGATGAGATGCAATGGAAACATGAAAATATATTTAGTAACTGCCTGACTCAGAGTCAACATGGAAGACAAGGGCTTTATTCAGTCTCTCTCCAGAGGCAGACCAGGTTCTGATCCGGAAAGAGCGGATCTTGAGCAGAGTACCTCTTCATACTGAAGACCATCTCTTCACTGTCTAGAGGACAGAGCAACCTTCACTCACAGAAACACAGCAGCTTGCAAAGCCCATGCCAAAGGATGCCAAGTAGTGGAAGAGGCAGCTTCAGAACATCCTCAGAAAGCCCAGTGGTTTAGCTCTATCGCTACATGGGGAATGCTGACGACTGATAAACTTCAGAAGCCTCAATTATCTGAAAATGGCCCCATCCCTTGAAAGCATTTATGTAGCCAAACTGTAAATGACAAAGGAGGAAACACCCTGCAGCCCAGCCAACAATTCCTCATTTGCTGAGCGTGTGTCAGGCCCTGTGCCGGGTGGGCATGGGCACCTGCTGTCATGTGACCCTGTAACATACAGGTTATCAGTTTCCCCCTCAGGATTTTGGAAAAGATGGAAAGGTGGCAAAAACAAGGGTGGCAATAACAGCTTTTTTTTCTAGGGTTCTCCGAAACGCTATAAGAGATAATGCTTAAACGAAACTTAGTAAACGCCAGTTTTCCTTCTCTCTCCCTTCTTGGGTAAAATTCCTTCTTAGGTAAACAGAGCATAGACCTCCCTGTGAATGTGCAATGAGTTAATGTCACAGGAAGGCAAGTTTTGTGCACAGCCCCTTGGTCTGATTGCAGTTCCTGTTAAGCAGGAAGGGCAGAGTGTGAGGTTATCTCTTCTCTATCCAACAGAAACCAGCTAAAGACACACCTTGTCTCTGCAGCCTGGGATGGAAGAGTGAGAAGCCATAGACTGGACCCAGAAGTGCTGACTGCCTCCACCCCTGACTCTCTGTGGAGCTCAGATGAGGCCATCCAAGTTCCCTGGGTCCCATTGCCAAATTCCCACAAATTGTCAGTGAGAGAATAACCAGAGAATAATCATCCCCCAAATAGGCCAGGCAGTCATTTCTCTCACCTACACACACACACACACACACACACACACACACACACACACACACACACACACACACACACACACACCAGGCTCCACCCCAGTGTGGGCTTTTGTACTCCCACACATATCCACCACACACATATGCACACATGCATTCTCAGCCCCACGGGCATACACTCGCCCACAAATTGGGGGCTTCTTTACATCCTGCAGGCAATTGCTCAGGAAATCCTGTTCTGGTCACCCTTTACCTCACATACCACTATTATTTTCCATTCTAGCACTCCACTGTTTTCTTTTATGATATTTAACAACTTAAAATTCTTACATATATATAAAACTTCTTCCTCACTAGGAGCTGGAAGCCATAATGGCACTGCTAAGTTTAACACTTTCGCTTCTTGTCCTTGACATCTAACATCCTATCTGACACATACACACGTTCAGTCAATATTTGTGTGACTGTTGAATCATTATGATTTTAATAACTTTCCCCAACAGTCAGTTCACTACTCTGCTACGCGGGAGTAGATCTGCACCTTCAAACGCACATAGAAACAGGCACTGACATTGTGAAAAATATCAATTCACCGAGCTCTACATATTTCCCAAAGGTTTCCCTACATGAAATTAAATTAAATTAAAGTTATTAATACCTCTGTCATTCCATCCAGAGTCTTTGAGGGTTACAAAGATGTTAAAGTCCTGAATCACAGGCATGAGCTTTCTAGTCTTTCACATAGAAAGTCTAGTTTCATCACTGGCTACGGAAATGGGCGAAACTGTTCTCTTTATGGAGGCAGGCTGCTCCACTCACACTGTGCAATGGCCCCCTTGCATATCGTACTAAACCCGCATTCGCTACAGGTTTATCCCTGAAGTTAAAGTATCTTAGTGTTTCTGCTGCTGAGCAAAGACATTCCTGAGAGAATTTGTTTGTAGTCGTTTGTGTTTCCTGAGAGCTCCTGGCAGTGAAGAACGTGGTAGTACCAGAGCAGTTTGGTTAACTGCCCTGGTGTGTTCTAAAGCCCTGGAATTGTGAGCCATCGGTGATTTTGTACAATCAGTACAGTTGTCAGCATAAGAGCCAAAGGCCAACATCTTAGTATTATTATGGAAATAGTTTGGAGTGATTGCTCAGTGGTTACAGAGCTTGTAGCACAGTCATGAGGACCCAAGTCCAGGTCCCAGAAATTCCCATAAATGCCAGGTGGGTAACACGGCTCACTTTTTAGTCCAGCTTCAAAAGATGGAGACAGGGGCTCCCTAGAGCAAACTGGTTTGTAGTCAGAGGCTACCCATTCGTTTCCCTGCCGCCCAGACCCGAAATAATCACACACACACACACACACACACACACACACACACACACACACACCTGTATTAATTGCAATACTGTTTGGCCAATAGCTTAAGCTTATTTCTAGCTAGCTCTTATATCTTAAATTAACCCATTTCTATTATTTTATAGTTGGCCATAAGGCTCATGGTCTACTGTAAGGTTCTGGCTGGCTGGCTCCTTTCACTGCTACACAGCATCTCTCTGAGTCTGTCTACTCCCCCTGTACATCTTTGTTTGGAGCTTTACTCTGCTAAGCCATTGGCCTAAAGCAGCTTCTTTTTTAACCAATGGCAGAGGGGAATTCCACATCACTGATTAGCAGGACTATCCGTATCAGAGACTTCCTGATTTCATTGACAGACCCTACCTCAATGACTAAAGGGGAAGAATAGTCGAAGAAGATTCCTAACATCTGTCAGACCTTCACATGCTAGAGTGAGTGCTTACACATACATACATACATACATACATACATACATACATACACACACACACACACACACACACACACACACCCTGGAAAAGCAAGAAAATAGTTTGATCTCACAGACCCCTGAAAGGGACTCAGGATACCATACAAGTTTAGAAATCACACATTTGAGGTCTACTGACTTGTAATATTACAGTAGGCTCACTCATAGAAGAATACATTTAAATGTTCATAGAATGGAAAGAAAATTTGCACACAAAAGTTTTGAAATTTGTATCTCATTGTGAAAACCATATAGGAATTATTAGAATAAAGTTAATGAATTCACGTTTTTCTCTTTTCTTTTTTTCTTTCTTTCTTTTTTTGGGGGGGTTTTTGTTTTGTTTGTTTGTTTGCTTGTTTGCTTGTTTGTTTTTCGAGGCAGAGTTTCTCTGTAGCTTTGGAGCCTGTCCTGGAACTAGCTCTGTAGACCAGGCTGGCCTCGAACTCACAGAGATCCACTTGCCTCTGCCTCCCTAGTGCTGGGATTAAAGGCATGCATCACCATGCCCAGCTTGAACTCACATTTTTCTATTTCAGTGAGATCACTGTGTTCAGGATGATACATAAATGACACTTTTCAACTTCAAAGTGTTTACAAAGCTATAGTAATCAAGACAAGTGGGACTAACCTAAGAAAAGGCCTACACATACATCCTGTGGGACTGAGACCTTAGAAATAAACCCTAACCTTTATTGTCAAATGATATTCAACAAGAAGTAAAATCAACTCTTTCAGGGAAAAATAGTCTCTTGAACAAACTAATGCTGGGATAATTGAACATTCACAAACAAAAGATGAAAATGACCCCCTCCCTCAATCAATGCACCCAATCTCACTCCAGCCGGGAGCTGGAGAAACGACACAGCAGTCAGCAGCACACACGGCTCTTACAGAGGACCTGAGTTCAGCGCTCAGCATCTCACAGCTGCCTCCAGTTCCAGAAGACCCAATGTCCTCTTTTAGATACACAGACATACACATATACACACAATTATAAAGCTAATATAAATATTGTAAGAAAAAACTCAAAGTATAACAAAAACATTAACAATGGGTTTAAATATTAGAACAAAGCAGATGACCACACTCAAGAAAATGTAGATAGGGAGGAACAGTGGTGGCATGCCTTTCATCTCGGCACTCGGGAGGCAGAAGCAGGTGCATCTCTGTGAGTTCAAGGCCACCGTGCTCTACAGAGAGAGTTCCAGGACAGCTATGGCTACACAGAGAAACCTTATCTGGAAGGAAGGAAGAAAGGAAGAAAGGAAGGGAGGGAGGGAGGGAAGGAGGGAGGGAGGGAGGGAGGGAGGGAGGGAAGAAAAGAAAAGAGAAGGAAGGAGGGAGGGAGGAAGGGAGGAGGGAAAGGAAAGGGAGGAATGGAGGAAGGGGAGAAAGAGAGAGAGAGAGAAAAGGTAAACGGAAGCTCCTACAATCTTGGGTTAGTGGATGACTCTCTAAATATGACATCCAAGGCACAAGTGATAAAGAGGTCTGATTGGTGGAATTTCACCACAAAGTAAGAACTTTACACTTCAAAGTGCAGCCACAAGAAAGAGAAGAGACAGTCACAGATGTGGAGAAAATATTCACAAATCCTACTGACTATGAGGGACTTGCATTTGGAATATTTGAAGAATGCTTCTTTCATTAATAAAAAGTAATTTTAAAACAGGCAAAGGATGTAAATCGACATTTGGCAAAGACATATGAATGACACATGAGAAGCTCAACATCACCAGTCAAGGGAGAAATGCAAATCAAAACTGCAGCGAGATGCTATTTCACACCCACTACAAAAGAAATTATCAAAAGAGTAACTAACTATATTAGCAATGGTACAGATAAGTTAGAGCCCTTGTTGTGTACTGGGGAAAGTCTAACGTGGTGCCTTCACTTCAGAAAAATCGCTTTAAAGTTCCTAAACAGCTAACTCCTCAGTTACTATGCAATTACTCAGTTACTTGGTAATGCGCTAAAGGCACAG